CCGAAACATGTAACGTGTTTACAAACAAATTTGCTGCAATTTGAAGTGGAAGCATAAACAGTGTTATGAATAATCATCAAGGGAGCGAATGCTGCCGAAAGCAGACTTCTTTTCAGTCTCGCTCCGTTCTCTATGTTTGTAAACAAAATTAAGCAAGGGAAAAATTTCGGTGATGAACAAGTAAGTCATGCACCAACCGTCCCCTCCCCCTCTCCCCTCCCCTAAGATCTGTAACATGAGGACAGTTGACGTTCACTTTCTCTTTTACCACACGGTCCGCTAATACAACATTTAACAACATTACTGAGATCATCCGAGATAGAATAAAGCGGGGATTGACTTTATGCTAAATCGCGAGATTTTCGGCAACTTTGGCCGCTTCCCATTGCGCGTGGACTTACGATGACTCCTCCAGCGGCCCGGTGATGTTACTGAAGTAGCCATGTTTGACCAGAATGCAGTCACTCAACGTCCATGCGCCGGCGAACCTGGCTGTGATAATAATAAAAAACAATCAGATTAAAAAATATTGAAAACTTGAGTGTGTGTGTGTGTGTGATGAGTGTGTGTGTGTGTGTGTGTGTGTGTTTGTGAGTGTGTGTGTGTGTGTGTGTGTGTGTGTGTGTGTGTGAGAGAGAGAGAGTGTGTGTGTGTGTGTGAGAGAGAGAGTGTGTGTGTGTGTGTGAGAGAGAGAGAGTNGAAGCATAAACAGTGTTATGAATAATTATCAAGGGAGCGAATGCTGCCGAAAGCAGACTTCTTTTCAGTCTCGCTCCGTTCTCTATGTTTGTCAACAAAATTAAGCTAGGGAAAACTTTCCGTGATGAAGAAGTAAGTCGTGCACCAACCGTCCCCTCCCCCCTCTCCCCTCCCCTAAGATCTGTAACATGAGGACAGTTGACGTTCACTTTCTCTTTTACCACACGGTCCGCTAATACAACATTTAACAACATTACTGAGATCATCCGAGATAGAATAAAGCGGGAATTGACTTTATGCTAAATCGCAAGATTTTCGGCAACTTTGGCCGCTTCCCATTGCGCGTGGACTTACGATGACTCCTCCAGCGGCCCGGTGATGTTACTGAAGTAGCCATGTTTGACCAGAATGCAGTCACTCAACGTCCATGCGCCGGCGAACCTGGCTGTGATAATAATAAAAAACAATCAGATTAAAAAATATTGAAAACTTGAGTGTGTGTGTGTGTGTGTGTGTGTGATGTGTGTGTGTGTGTGTGTGTGTGTGTGAGAAAGTTTGTGTGAGTATGTCAGGTGTGTGTGTGTGCATGCTTTGCGAGCGTGCGTGCGTACGACAAGAGCGTGCACCAGCCTACGTACATGTATATCAATGTATGTGTTCGCTACACTCACTTCCTTGGGTGGTCACCCCTCCCCACTCCTGTATGGTGACCCCCTGGTCGGGGGCTGCCGTGGACCCAATGACGTACTCTCCCAGGAACCTGTCCCCTGGGGACACCTCGTACACCGGGAAGTCATGGGTGAGGGTGGTGGTATTACACACCTTGGTCTTCAGATTGATGATGTATTGTTTGCGCTACAATAACCAAAACAAGGAAATAAGTATTGTGCTGTATACGAGGGTTTACTTGATAACAGAGGGCACTTTGTATGTTGTGTTCCGTTACAAATACATGTATTTGTCAATATTTTTCCTTAAGTGGTTGCGAAAGAATGACAAAATAATAATAATAATAAATAAATAAATAAATAAAACAGGCGCCATAATGTATTAAAAGTGACATAGAAAGATTTAAGGAGCAACAAAGGGATTGTTAGGGCTACAAGAAGTTCTCTTCCTCTCTTTCTCTCTCTCTCTCTCCCTCTCTGTCTGTGTGTGTGTGTGTGTGTGTGTTTGTGTGTTTGTGTGTGTGTGTGTATGTGTATCTGCGAAAGCGAGAAAAAGAGAAGAAGAGAGAGAAACACCGCAAGTAGCAATCAATTACCCAGTTACCTGAGCATAAAAGCGGAATATCTCGTAGAACTCCTTCGATTCTGCCTCGTCGATCTCTTCCGTCTTTCGCGTTCTCATGTACACAGCGTCGTGGTGGTAGCGCTCCTTTCTCACCACCTTCTCCACAAAGTCATACTGCAAGAGAAATCCCACTGAGGTTAACTTAAGGACTAGAAAGGCACTCTGAGAGTGCAGACCACCGCCAAGGTAGCCCAATTGGTATTACTATTAATTATTCATCAATTAACATTAATTGTTATTATTATTATTAATTATTCATCAGTTAACCAATAAGCTAAATTCACATAATTAATTGATTAACTCAAGTTAATCAATTTTCATTTTTGATTTATTTCATAATTTTAAGTTTACCTAATTTCTGATCTGTGGGCCTACTGACATTTACATCAAAATCCCTCTATAACGTTTTGCATGATATTTCCAACAGAAACACAGACTTGATCAATTTATTAATTATCAATGGCTTACCACCAAAACCTAAGTTTGTTACTTGCCCCCCTCCCAAAAGCTGAAAAATTCACCATTATCCACCCACTACTATGTCAATGATATTGCTATCTAACAGACACACAAACAGAGCCTCCTTGGCGGGGGTATGGGTATGTGTACTCTGTTAAAAGATATCCCCCCTCTCCCTCGCCCTTAAAACAAAATGGCGGAACCCCCCCCCCCCTCGCTAAAAAAAAAATAAATAAATAAATAAAAATAATAATAAATAAAATAAATAAAAAATAAAACGCTCAAAGATGTTTATTTCATTCCATCAGAGTAGACAAATGTCACTTAAAAAGATTGTTCTCCCGGAAGAGGTGCAGGAACATACCGTCCTCTCCAGACACAGCTTGAACATAGTGTCCACCTCAAACGCGCGTATTTTAAAAACAGTATTGGCTGTCTAGGGAAAAATAGAAGAGAAAAAATGACTTACCCTGAGCCTATTGGCTGACCACTGAGGTGGACTCTCTGGGTGAAAATGAAAAAAAAACAAAAAAAAAACGTACAGAACACAGTAAAATAAACAGCTGATTTCATACTAAAAGATTTTACATCATTATAACAAATTTCCCCCCTTTTTTAAGATTTTAAAATTACAAATACGCACCGCTGCATCCAAATGTGGCAGTGTGATTCATTATACACGATATTTTATCTACTAAACATTATTTTAAAAGTAAAATCTAATTAAATACGGCCACTCACTACCGTTATATGGAACGAATCGAATCAACGGAAATTTAGCCCCGACGAGGCCGCCTTAGTAATTCTTTGGAAGAAAAGAGGCGATTAACTCACTGCACGGTATTGGTGCCTGTCCCAGCGTCGCCCCAACCAGGACCAGACCGACCATCAGAACCAGATACATCTTCTCGAGCTGTGAGACAACTTCTGAAGCTTGTGACAGTGCTGTCTACTAGGCCAGGTGTAGCGTTGGGTAGCGGTGGCCCGAGGGGGGCGTGGCAGTCACCTGAGCCAGGGGGTCAAGCGTCCTATGTATCTACCTCAACACTGTAGGTAGATATTATGACGGTCCAAGGTGCAGGATTTACGTGCGTTCAGACACGGAGCGAAAACCAAGGCCGATTGAAGCCTAAGTCAAATTGCGATATCGGTAAATGAACAATTATTCTTAAACTCATTTTTATGTCTCTGACCCTCTCGTCCAATCTAAACCTGCTAGTAATCTCTTGGCACTGGTGTAGATGGAGCTGTGTCTTAATCAACGCTTCTTAAGGTCACTTGCTGCCACGGTATAATGTGGATAGTTTGGGTCTCTTGTTGTGTCTGAACGCACTGTAGAAGATAGCGATGAGCACTGGTTTATCTCTGTCGTTTAAGTTTGAGGTCACTTTGTAAAGTCAAGTAGGGGGTGTGTGCGAGCTGATTAATACACAGAGCACCTCCTGCTGTTTGTTTACACCTGTGGACGTCTGACCGAGTTAAAACTCGCGTCACAAGCGCTTCAGATACCCGACTAGTAACTTTTTCAATGGGTTTCAACACTGAGTGCTGCCATATGTACGTAATGTCAGTTGAAATGCTGTAGGTGCGGTTGTGATTTGTGTTTTGAGCACTGAGTACTACCATAGCCTATAGCTAGCTCAATTTCTGTTGAAATGCTGTAGGTGTGATTGTGATTGGTGTTCTTCATGCCCGGATGTTCTCTGAGCGGTGCGACTGAAATCCAAGAGCCTCAAGCCTACCTTGGACACCGTAATTTTGTCCATGAGCCTATTGATCTCATTTTCTTTCTAGCATCTTCTGCGTCTTCTAAAACACTTCCATTCTATTCTGCCTACCTGGCATTTAATATTTCTATATAAAGCAATTTCTTTTGCTCTATTTCATGCCTCATCAAACTAAATATCTTAAATATATTTTTATTCCCTGGAGTTGATTGGTAAAAAATTAAAAGGCGTTAGCAGGATGACAGCTGTCACTCGTGATAGACTGTTTTATTTGCGACCCTCTCATTTTTTTTCTACAGTTGCACACCCAAACCATACAATTAACACTTAAGTTAAAATACTTTCTGTATCACACCTGTAGAGTCTCGCTAAAATGGTCACATTTCTAGTGAAGGCTTTCAATATATAAAAAGTACATTCGCTGCCTAATTTTTTTCAAAACTTTCATGATGTTATCACTCCAGGTAAGTCTACTGTTCAATACTGTTCAGTATATATGGGAAAAGTGCCACATGTACAATGAAATGGGGAACGGACTACGGTTCCTAGCTTCCATTCCTGTTACATCGGCGTATTTTGAGTCTCCAGATTTTAGAGAGAACCAAGTTAACGCTAGATAACAAGTAAGTCATACACAAGATGTATTTGCCGACAGTTATAATTATAGATTTGCTATTTACAGGTGTATAAGAATGTTGCTTTTACTTACTTTTAGTGAAATGGATATGTTACGCAATGATTCCGCTCCGTTTTAGTGAAAGGCGCAAATGTAAAATGTACATTGTCATTTATAAATTACGTTTAGTTACTTAGATATTGTTTAGAATAAGTTAAAAGAGACTTGAGTGGTATAGCATAGTTAGCGACTTGGCAGATTTTATGAGAAATGCGCTTCACGTCAGTTGCCTAATTTTTTTCAAAACTTTCATGATGTTATCACTCCAGGTAAGTCGTAACTTTGCGTTTTCTACTTTCGTTAGTAAAGTAATAGTATGTGCGTTGTCTTTTACAATGTTCTAATGGGAATGATTTTTAAGCGTTTTGTTCAATATTTCAATGGATAACTTTGCTTTTGCTAGAACAAAGGCGCTCAGGCTATTAAGTTATACTTCTCAGGTCATGTTTGTAATGGGTCACTAGTAGACGCGAGTGCGGTTGTGGTTAGGTTTGCATTGCCGTGTCGCGTGCGGCGTGCTCGCCGTATCTTAGTGCACTGATTTATCATACTAGCTGTAGTTTTTATTTCATTGTTTAGATTTCATTTAACGTAAGCTGTGAGATTTACGACTAGCCTCTATATGTCACGTATGTGTTAGAATACTTTGTAAGTGATGCTAAGACTTGCTTATGTTGCATTTAGGACTTGTATAGCCAATGTGTAAGAAGTAACCGGTGCATTGCCTCCGCTGGGGGTGAGTCAATGCGGTAGTTGAGATCGTACATTAAAGTGAGAAGATCGTTGAATGTGACCTATGATATCATATATATCACTCATTTTCTATGTATGGATATCAAGAAACAAATAGTGTTCGTCACATTACATCTCAGTTACGTAACATTCTTACATTACTGTGCAAATATGTTATATCATTTTTAATGACGTGTATTGGAAAGATATTAGTAGATTTTGTCAACAATTAGCTGTGCGTACGTTGGAAATATATTATTCTTTGTTATTTTAGGTCTTATTATGTGAATAAACCGTAGAAACCTAAAGTAGTCTTCCTATGTCATTCCACCCCGAGTCCCTCTCTCGGCGTTTCACAACACATGTCGTTAACTTAAAATCCGGTACATCAATAAAGAGTATCGGTTTTGTCTCATCTGGGATTTTTAAATTATCTACACTCGAAATTAAGTTTGATGTATATAGGATAGGTATGGCATGTGATGTGTTGCAATATTCAATTAATATACTTTTAATTCAATTAAAAGTTTTGTTGTTCAATGTTTCAAAATTTTATGCAATATTCTTTTTTTTTTCATCCAATGTTGTTTCATTTTTTAATGCACATTTTTTTCATTCAATGTTGCTTCGGTTTTCTCATGCAATTGTTTTTTTTTTTCATTCAATGTTATTTCATTATTTTCATGCAATAAATTATTCTTTAAATTCAATGTTCTTTCATTTTTTATGCAATATTTCTTTTATTCAATGTTGTTTCAAATTTCATGCAATATCCTTTTTTTCATTCAATGTTGTTTCATTTTTTATGCAATAATTTTTTCATTCAATGTTGGATTATCATTTTAAAGTATTTTGTTTCTTTAAAACAACATTATATCAAGATAATACTAATGACAACACTTTAATTTGAAATTTCTCAGTCAAAAACATTGGATTTACTATACACCTTTTATGGTCCGCTCCATGCTTATAAGCCTTCATCTTAGCAGTTTTGCCATATTGGACACACCAGGCCGTACTATAGCGCCCTCTTGAGACGGAAAAAGAAAATGATCGCCCCTACTGCGACAGGTTCAGCTTAACAGATTCCTTTAGATTTGTTCTTTTACAGACAAGTATGAACAGGGAATCATTTGCCAATATACGTAATTTGAACATTTTGCATCTGTTTCTGTGATAAAAAGCACAGCCTGCAGTTTACCGGTACTTCTCTCAGATATAGGAAGTGGTGATTATGTTAAATACGCTCGGGACTTTATTTCCGAATAATACTGACACATATAAGTGTAGCTATTTGGGGGGAGGAAACACTCGAACCCGGGACTCTGGCAAACCGTGCGACTGCTCTTACCAACTGAGTTACCGAGCCCGGGCTAATCCCGGTCAGCAACTACATGAGAATAAAATTTTAATAAAAATACTAAAGACTATCATATCAAAAGGTGACAGCGTATGTGTAATGCTGAAATGCCAAGTTTCGGTATTTGTCGACTTTCACTTGACTTCCAGACGCTTTTGACGACTCTTTCCGTGAAAAAAATGGTAGAATATAGTGAACCGGCCCAGAGGCAGCTACTAAGTAACTGGGAACAGGGTTGAAATAAACTGATGATAGGCAATTTTATATTTAAAGTTCTTGAACAATTGGACTTGAAAAAAATTATTTTTAGCATTTAAAGATCTTTCATTCTATTCTGTCAATTTCAACACTAATTTCCTTGCGACCGTTGCTTGCTTTATCAGACTAAATTGCCCTCTAAAATGTATTTTTCCACTCCTCTCAGTACTTTAATTAATGAAATAAAATGACGAACGCAATATAAGGTTAATTGGTTGAAGGCCAGTTAAAACCGATTATTATTTTTTATTGTTGCCAAACCCAACATGAGATGAATAACCTTTTTTTTTAATTGACCATAAATTCAAAATTATAAGCGTCCAGAGTGTAAGTATTATAAATAAAAAACTAACCCAATGTTTGAGACAATCATTTCCAGAATACAATTTTTGTACAACAGGATTTTAATTCACATCCTAACAAAATTATTTATATAGCTGCACTTAATAACTTTCAAAATTCTACTTAATTAAATTTTAATTTTATTTTTTCTGCCTTTGCGATTTTTAAAAAATGGTAATCGTATTTTTCTTGCATTACAATATGACAGATTTACAAAATGATTCATTCACAACATTTAAAATCAAGTTTCCGAATTCTAGGATATAAAATATAGAATATAATAAGAATATAACATGACATGTGAAATTGCCTGAATTACTAATTTTAAGCCTAGATTACATTAGCCATGTGGTGTCCGTACATTACATATACCCCCCCCCCCCGTACTTCTTGTAAATCCGGTCCCTTTTCATGCGGCGTCTGGGCGGAGTCAGTTGCTGGCCGTGCGAAATCGTGCGGATTCACGGCCACCGTGGGCTCTCTGATTTTGTCAAGCTAAAACTTTCGACAAAAAAATTGTAAAAATAACAAGTCCGTTGGCCTAATGTTATCGTAGATGGCACTTCGCAGTTCCCGTATGAGCAATGTTCTGTGGACTTGCAGTGATAGTCATAATGGTTGAACCTGTTGATGAACCTGTTTCCCTACCACCTTTGGTCATTTTAGAAGGCTTTACAATAGTAAAGATATGTAAAACCCAGTGTTATTCACTTGCATACATTTGCAGTTGTGTGTCGTTTCACAACAGTTCCATAATTGCGAGCGTAATTTCTGCTTATAGATTTTGCCAATAATTGTCTAAATTAATAAATATTGAAGACCGCTTACCACACTAAATATACCAATTTTTCGTAAGTCGTCAGTAAAAAAAGCATAATTTTTTTACCTTTTGAAACATTTTATACATTCTAACCAATAGGAAGCCC